CCACCCCCGCCGCTCGGGTCTTGCGGCCAAGCGGGGCGGCCTGAGTGTCGGGCAGGGGTGAGCGCGGAGAGGTCTGGGGAAGCGCGCGTGCGTGCGGCCCTCGATGGGTGAGCGGCGTGGCGGTGACGTCACCTCTTCCCCTGACCGCCCATGCCGCGCCTGCCTGTGCGACCGCAGAGGCGGCGCTCACAGAGGCGGAGGCCGAAGCCGAGGCGGCTGCGGGCGAGCGGGGGCGCCTGGAGGAGCAGGCTGCGGCCGCGGCGGCGGCGGTGGCGGGTGAGCGGGGGCCGCCCCCGAACGCGGCGATTGCAGCCATGAGCGGAACGCCCATTCATCGAGGGGACGGCAGCGTGGCGTCTGCAGGCAACGGCTTGCTGTGCTGGGGTGAAGCCCCTTTCCTGTGTTCAGCATCCACACATCCTCATCCCTCCAACCCCTGTACCACGCACACACACAAACGCATGACCTTTCACTCACGCTTGCTCGAACATGCACACACACACACACACACACACAAGAATACACACACAAGAATACACACACACACACAAACACACACACACACAAACACACACATCTCTCACAAATCATTGTTCATCACCACGCCCACAGCTCTGGAGAAGGAGCTGTCCAAGCTGCAGGCGGCAGTGGAGGCGGCGGGGGCGGCGCACCAGGACGCGTCAGAGAAGCTCAAGGCCAAGCGCGCGCGCCTCAAGGTGCGGCGGGCAGCGTGCCGTCGCGGCATATCGGATAAAAAGAGATTGCAAGCCGGCCGCTCCATTCATCTTGATGGGCGTAAGAGCGCACGCGTGCCTGCCGCTGCATCTGCATTTCGCGGCCCATGCCTCGCTAACTGCCGGGGACGCGGCGTCGGTGCATCACCCCAATCTGGAGTCCCGCAAACCACCGTCGGGAGACACCAGCCGTCCCACGCAAGCCCCAACACTCTTGCCACCCTCAAGGCCGGCATTGTCATCTTCTTCCCCCCGCCCCCCAGCGACTAGCCACGAAAAATTCAACCCTGCATCCGACACACCCCCACCCCCACCCCCAGGAGTGCGATGCCGAGATCAGGGCACTGGAGAAGGCGCGAGACAAGCTGGCTTCGCAGGCCATGGAGTGCGGGGTGGAGAGGCGGCGGCTGGACAACAGGTGCGGGCGGGCCGGCACTAGGCGGTGCAGGGTGCCGGTTGTAGGCGGCTCACGCGGCCCCGGCCCTGGGCGCCAGGGCGGCTTGGGGTGTGGGTTCGATACAAGGATGGCAGATCGTAGGTGGTCTGGCATAAGCACTCGCCCTGACCGCTTGCAAGTCTCGTGTGCAGCCCCGCAGATGTGTCGACGTGCGCACGCTTGAACATGCATGTGCGCGCTCACTCTGCCAAGCAATCACACAATCCCACGCGTCTTTCCCTGTCAGGATGGCATCCAAGCGCGGCGAGCAGGGAAGCGCTACGGACCGCATGCGGCGGCTGGAGGAGGACTACCAATGGATCCCGAGGGAGAAGGTGCGTTCGTTTTCCATGCATGCATGCGCGCGCGCGTGTGGGGTGTGTGTGCAGGGCGTGCAGAACGCGTGTGCTTGTGAGATGCCTGTGCAGGGCACGGGGGTGAAGGAGAGCCCCCGCCTGCAAGGACCAATCTGGCTCTGGACTTGCCCACCAAGGCAACGGCGCGCAGAACCCTAGCACAGGGTTGACATGCCTGTGCTTGCAGACATGTGATTGCGACCCCTTGAAAGCCAGCCTTCCTACTCCCTCGTTCCCCCTTCCTGCATTCACAACTGCACAAACACATGCACACACGCACACACACACACACACACAGAGAGAGAGAGAGAGTGTGTCACACGCAACAGCCAGAGGGATATGCCCTCTTCCCAGCTTGCGAAATGACCCCAACATACACACTCTACGCACACCCCTCTCACACGCACTCCCGCACACCCCCCTCCCGCCGCCACCAGGCCAACTTTGGCAAGCCGCGCACCGAGTTTGACTTTGAGGCCCGCGACGCCACAAAGGTCTACGAGGAGTACCAGGACGCGGGGGCGCGCCTCAACGCGCTCAAGGAGAAGGGCGTGGAGAAGCAGGTGCGGCCCCGGAGCTGTTTGGAGAGCAGAGGTTCGCGGCCCGATTGGGGGTGCGACGGCTGCGACGGGGTCCGGCGCGGGGAAGGGGGTGTCGAGCGCGGGGCCGGGGGTCGGGCCAAGGGAGAAGGTGGGGACGGGGGCTCGATGCATGAGATGGGAGCGTCGGGGCCGGGCGGGAATCAGGGCCCGCCACGGCTCCGCCGCCGCTTGTTTCGCCAGAGGGCCAAGCGTGCGCGCGCGCCCCCCTCGCCGGCGCCCGTTTGGCTTGGCATACGTGCGTGCGTTGACTTATGTGCGGTATGCCGTTGTCACCCCCATGCCCCCATCGCCGCAGGCTGACACGATGTACCGCCGCAACAAGGAGGAGGTGGAGGCGCTGCAGACAAAGCGGCAGCAGGTGCGGTCGGCGGCGGGGACGGCGGGGACGGGGGCGGTGGCGGCGTCGCCCTTGGGGCGGCAGCTGGGCGGCAGGGTTCCGCCTGTCCTTGTCGCCGTGATGCGGGTTCGGCGTGCGCACCGGTCCCAACCATGCATGTCCCCCTTGCACCTGCACGCCTGCGAACGTGCACACGCACACCC